CATTCACATAATATGGTGATTTGAATAAACCTAACAACGTATCTCATTACGAAAATTAACTGGAATAGACAGCTGCATAGGGCGATGTTAATGACGTGATTTGTTTCATTCGAGTATTAAATGTACCATGGCTGACCACATTCCAAATGAAACAATAACTGTTCGACTATGTGACAAACCCTGGTTTGATAATGATCAGCGTCTATTATGAGACCGTCACAGATAAAAGGCCATAAGTACCGGTAATATTAGTCATATAACGAATTATAAAAACATATCCATAGAAATTAGTTTAATAATATTAAAAAGGTTGCAAAAGAAAGTTGTTTTTCAGATATAAATGGATTACTAGATACATAATTGACTAATTAAAAAATATTAATTACTTGGAAATTATTGAGATACATTTAAACGATGGAGGAATGACAACATGTATCCCCCAGCTTTATACGGATGCTAGCTCGGACAAACCTTTAGCGTTTAAAGACACCGACAAGGCTGAAGTTCTTAATGAGTATTTTGTTTCTATAAGTAATGTTGAACCTATACACTTGAACCCCCTCTCAACAGAGCTGTGCATCCCTCCTTACCATACACGAGCAAGAAATTAGTAATCTGATCATATCTTTGCCATGTAATAAAGCTATAATTCAAGGGAAGGGATTTGTCTTACAACGCTAATGCCCAGTCAAATGGAATAAAATGGGTTGCTATAAAGAATGAAAAACCTGCTGCCACCACCACTGTTACTAACTTAAGTTACTTTCAGTTCCATCACTTTGTGCCTTCCTTCCACAATACACTTATGAGCAATTACAAATACAGTTATTTTAAGACAACAACTCAACGCTAACTTGCTCCTGTGTTAGGAGTGTCGAATGTAAACACTCAGATAAATCGTATTCCGTCCGTATCAAGTCAAGGACGGGTGCAGAAAAAAAGCAAGTAGTGAACCGGTTTTCTTGATCTCTTTGGGCGGACACACTATTGTCATATGGTCAGTAGATGCCAGTGGCTTATGGAGAGTCTTGGGCATAAGTGGGGTCACGGGTGGCCCAGTCGTCTAAGGCGCCGCGATTCGCTGTGCAGAGTTGTGTCCCTTGGACACGTCAGAACCTATGATTGTGGGTTCGAATCCCGGTTCGCCCCGATTATGTTTCTAGGTTTGTCAGCACCATACCCGTGCTCGTGAGTTTCACCGAAGTGGTAAGCGTCTGAGAACTACATCACTGCGGGCTTTCCTCCCAGATTAAGCTGACACGCCGTGACATAACTGGAATACTGTTAAAAACGGCGTTAAACCCAACTCACTTACTCACTCACTTGGGCATAAGTGACACAGATGGACACTGGAAAACATAAAAGAACAGAAAATTAAACCGTCAGGGTATCAGTTACAAAAAATATATTTCTAATACACTAAGTGTTAAAGCAATGTCAACTGTCATTTTTTGTGCATATGAAATAATAAATGAGCATATGATAACCAATATACTAATCAGTTCATATCCACAGACTTCAGATCTGAAACATTACCTCGTTGTAGTTACAACTGAAAGTTGAAAAAGGACATATTTTGCAGGGGCTAGCAATACGAATATCAAGTTGAGTTTTGATACTGTTGATTTTCGCTTGGGATAAAGTTATCTCCCTTGTCCTTGTCCCTGTCCCTTCACGGCCCCAGTCAGAGCCTGCAGTCTATTTAAACGCTGTTGGTACAAAGGTATGTGAGTTGACGATCTTTCAATGTGTAACAGTGGGATTATAACCTACAGCTGATTTATCTAATTGTGAGGCAGGTGTTAATCTAATAAATCCTCGATGGCACTGCACAGGGAACTTGGGCACACAGTTAAGGGTGTGTTTGTAGATAGAACATCTACATAACCCCCTTCACCTCTTGATACGCCAGTGAGCACGTTGTAGGTATATATGTCAGTATCAATAGCTTTGAACACCTGCTGCATATGTATTGGCAATTGTGCGGAGTCATGCTGTTATGAGCCGCCACAGACGGTCAGACATACCCGTCGTATTACAAACAAGAAAACATTGATGCAGAGCATCAAAGTTCCCCGCCATATATGATGCCTCACAAACGCATAATTATGATGTTACTGAAAGGCATGATGGAGCATAATTATATTAACCACAAATAACACAACGCTGTTGTGGAAAAAAATATTATTTATTTTGAGTATTGGGCAATACAGTTGATACATTTGCATAGGGTAGGTCTATTTAAAAATAGTTTCTTGTTTAACGCCGCACTCAGCATTATTCCAGCCATATGACGGAGGTCTGTAAATAATCCAGTCTGGACCAGATCATCCAGTGATTGACACCAAGAGCATCGAACTACGCAATTGGAATATGATGTTATGCATCGACCAAATCGGCGAGCCTGACTACCCAATCCTGTTCGTCGCCTCTTACGGCAAGCATAGGTTGCTGAAGACCTATTCTTACCTGGGTCTTTATTTAAAAAGTAGATCGAAGGAAATGGAAGCAATTTCTGGCACAAATGTAAACATGTGGAAATAGTATCAAAACTGCCAACAACATTGGCAGATGCACTTACTCAAAAAATAGATCACATTCTTTTTACACTTAGCATTTGGTTATAATAATGTAAATGAAAATACTAAGGGCTCCATATGGCAAAAAAAGTCATACTAGATAAGGTCTTTTTGTCACAACCACAGATGCACATACTCAAAATATTATCACGTAGTTGGAGAACATTTCAATACCGGAACTAATCGATAACGGAGATTCCTCGTCTCTTGTTTTACGTTTTTTGGTCAGTTTGTTTGTGTATTTCTTTCTTTCAAAGAATAGTAATTGTGATCATGATGAGTTGAGTTACTTGTTTTTTTTTCTATATACTGTTTTTTTATCCAGTGTCAGTAACTGTTGTGGAATGTGGTTTACTTGTAACAATGACTGGTTTGAGTTCATATGATGATGATTGATTGGTTTGTCGTTTAACGCCGCACTCAGCAATATCCCAGCTATATGACGGCGGTCTGTAAATAATCGAGTCTGGACCAGACAATCCAGTGCCTAATATCATGAGCATCGATCCAAGCAATTGGGATCGACGCCTCTTACGTCAAGCATAGTAGCCTGATATATATATATACTGTTAAGATGTAACATGACAATTCATCCATACTACTAAACAGAAGTAAAACAGCTTGTCCATTCGGATCAATCTGACCAAGACCATTCCGCTGATGACAGCAAATAAAGCATACGAATCGAAATCCGTAAAAAATGCAATGGAGACATCATTAAAAGTTACCAAAAGTGACGGGGATATCAATATTGCTTTTTGAAATGATTCTATGAAATTTGTTTTCCCTGCTTCAATATTTGGAGCACCTGTGACGGAGCCATAAAACTGATCTGTTATGTAGACAATATCGCTTGAGGCAGTGGCTGCTGGGGACTGATTATGACCTAAATACACCTCATAGCCTTCGGTGTTAACTTTGTGGCTGTAGAGAGCTGTGCCTTCATTCCACAGATTATCGAGGTCAGTGGAACACGGTACAGACGCAAATAGATTTGAGCTATGGGACACAAAATATATGAATGACCAGAGCTACGGCTGTACATTGAATTCCATTAAACGGTTGAAAAATACTACAGCCTTGATGCAAATTCGCTGACACACTACTCCGATTTTGCTTTGACTTTGCTACCAAACGTTTCACATGTGGTTATGTGCGGTGCACTGATTAAAAAACACACATGGGGGACTGGGTTTATTCAGAATACGGAATATAACTATTCCAAATATTTCCAGTGAACATGAGCATCCAAACAATCAAAAGTGTGGTATGTAGAATATGGAATTCAGCCATATTACATTTAAATTGAGATGTCGTCGTTGTTCATGAATAAGCATATTCAGAACATAATTTTTATTATGCTGTTATTTACGATCTCCGGAGCACAGTTCTTCTTTTGTATACACCGTGAAAATCAGAAAATTAGTCCTTGAGGAAAAAAGGACATCGGATTACACATGAATGGTTTAATAATGTCAGCTAATGACCAGAAACGGTCAGATGCATCAATTAACTACATAAAGACGACTTTGAAGTATCTCTTATTGCTGGAAAAGAATAGCATCAACATTTGACGCACATGATTTGTATGTTTTGTTTCCGTAAATGCGTGGCTTGAAATTTCAAATAAACCAACATGTTGACATACATGCCACAAATTTAACGTTTCCCGTATACTTCCCCGCCTTAAGGGCGGGGAAGAATAAATATAGAATGCTAAACTAGCTCCCGTGTAATACCAATTTTATGAAACGATTTTCATAAAATTGGTTTTACACGGGAGCGAGTTTAGTATTTAATTTACTACTTGCCATTTATAACGTTTTTTGAATTATACTTTTGAGTATTAATAGGCTGACACCTACACGATCCACGGCATAGTCCAATTGAGTTTAACAGAATAACACTTCAAACACGTCAAAAGTTGAAACGTATGAATTTAATACCATACAACGGTCCACCTTTAGAATTCACAAAATTATCGTAGGGCTAAGACTATCGCAACTCACATACTTTAACTAAGACTAACGACTGTCGTTGCGCTACAATACGATCGCCCTGTGGAACTGACCCTTGCACCTCAAAGTTTACAATAACGTCACAATACCCGATGACGTAATTTGTGGAATTTTGTTGCAAGATCCATCGGCGAAACAATGCCATGTGACGTCAGCCTAGCAACAAGGTTGCTGGGGTCATCGAGTGTGCATAAGCTCCTCTCAGTGATCTATCAACTCCACACGCGATGTCGTTGAATAAGCCAAGGGATGTTGAGAGCTTTCAATATTTGTTCGTGTGTTCCGAGAGTACATAAACACGCGTTTTGGTATTACACAATGTGTAATAACAGCTGTATGTTTATCAAACGGGCGACCTCTTCACGGGCAAGTAATAAATCCAGGTTACTATATGTACAAACCGCGTTTAGTTCGATCCCCTCTCCACCCTGAATAATCGAGGTCAGTATCTGTGTACATGACAGGCCGCCGGCGGTGGATGGCTTATGTGAGAGGACAGAGATTTGAAGTGCGTAACCATTGCTAATTGTTTAGTGAGTTTAGTAAGGTAAGGTTGAAAATTCAATTATGTTTAAACATTTTAAAAGAACATTATTCTATATTTTTAAATACTCAGATCTCGCAACGTTGTGACAGTATTAGAAGTACCACAGCATCCAATAATTTAAGTCTCAGTATATTGCACTGTCAGTTTGGGGGTCAGTGTGTTGCACTGCTATAAGTCAGAGGCTCAGTATGCTGCGCTGTCAGTTAGGGGCTCTATATCTTGTACTGTCAGACAGGTACTCGGTATGTTACACTGTCAGTCAGGGGCTTACTATGTTGCGTTATCAATCAGGGGCTCAGTCTGTTGTACTGTCAGTCAGGTACTCAGTATGATGCACTGTCAGTTAGGGGTCAGTATGTTGCACTGTAAGTAGGGCCCCAGTATGTTGCACTCTCAATCAAGGGCTCAGTATGCTGCACTGTCAGTCAGGGGTCAGCATGTTGCACTGTAAGCTGGGGCTCAGTATGCTGCGCTGTCAGTCAGGGGCTCAGTAAGTTGCGTTGTCAGTTAGGGGCTCAGTATGTTGCGTTGTCAGTCAGGGGTCAGTATCCTGCGCTGTCAGTCAGGGGTCATTATGCTCTGCTATCAGTTAGGGGCCCATTATGTTGCACTGTCAGTCAGGGGCTCAGTATGTTGCGTTGTAAGTCAGGGGCTCAGTATGTTGCACTGTCAGTTAAGGGCTCATTATGCTGCGCTGTCAGTTAGGGGCTCAATATGTTGCACTGTCAATCAAGTACTCAGTGTGTTGCGTTGTCCGTCAAGTATTCAGTATGTTGCGCTGTCAGTTAATGACACAGGATGTTGCGTTGTCAGGGGCTCAATTTGTTGCACTGTCAGTTAAGGGCACAGTATGTTGCACTGTCAGTCAGGTTTCAGTATTCTGCGTTGTCAGTTAGGGGCTCAGTATTTTGCACTGTCAGTCAGGGGTCAGTATGCTGCGCTGTCAGTCAGGGGTCAGTATGCTCTGCTGTCATTTAGGAGCCCATTATGTTGCACTGTTAGTCAGGGGCTCAGTATGTTGCGTTGTAAGTCAGGGGCTCAGTATGTCGCACTGTCAGTTAGGGGCTCAGTATGTTTCGTTGTCAGGGGCTCAGTATGTTGCACTGTGAGTAAGGGGCTCAGTATGTTTCACTTTCCGTCAGGGGTCAGTATGCTGCGCTGTCAGTAAGGGGTCAGTATGCTGTGCTGTGATTCAGGGGTCAGTATGTTGCACTGTCAGTCATGGGCTTTGTATGTTGCACTGTCAGGCAGGTACTCAGTATGTTGCATTGTCAGTTAGGGGCTCAGTATGTTGCACTGTCAATTGCAGGCTCAGTATGTTGCGTTGTCAGGGGTTCAGTATGTTGCACTGTAAGTCAGAGGCTCAGTATGTTGCACTGTCAGTTAAGGGCTCAGTATGCTGCGCTTTCAGTTAGGGGCTCAATATGTAGCACTGCCAGTCAGGGACACAGTATGTTGCACTGTCAGTCAGGGGGCTCAGTATGTTGCGCTGTCAGGTAGGCGCTCAGTATGTTGCGTAGTCAGTTAGGGTCTCAGTATGCTGCGCTGTAATTCAGGGGCTGAGTATGTTGCACTGTCAGTCAGGTTCTCGGTATGTTGCACTGTCTGTCAGGTTCTCGGTATGTTGTACTGCCAGTCAGCGATTAGTATGCAGTGCTGCTAGTCTCGGAATCAGTCTGTTAGGTACCAGTCCAGGGTTTTGTATGTGTACTGTCTGTCACGGTCTCAGTATCTTACGCTGGCAAGAGACTAAATATTTAGTGAGGGAAAGGTACAAGCATTTCATTTGAAATACCCACAATTCTAACTCCTGCAACTAACCACTGTCTGAAAATTACGACCATTGGACAATTCCTCACCTTATGTCTAGAGACACTGGTGTCTCGGTTAATTACCATGGCCTCACCACAGAGACATGTGCGGGTCCGCTGCTTATCATTAAAGTCTGAGTGTGGCTGTTAGGCCACTGAAGCTTAACGTTGTGAATAAGGTGCTCATACATGTGACGTAACACGATACGTGGCAGTCTGACAGTGTTTCGGCTGAGGGTTAAAGATAGAATGCAATGCGTTTGTCAGTTTGAATTCTGACCCTCGGACAGCAGCTTGGCAAGTTGCTTCCTTGATCCTTCAAGATGCTGTCTGGCCATTGCTGTCCTATTATCACTAGGTTGCTATATTTGTTATAACATGAATAAAGTGCTGTTTATCCACCCATGGACTCCTGTGTTTGAAGAGACAAAACAAAATAGCCCTGGATATTGGTAATGATTTGTTTATTTGTTGATTAAGGCTACACTAAGCAGTCTTTCAGCGTTATGACAGCTGCCTGTAAATAGTCCAGTCTGGACCAGCCAATTAAGTGATACGGTGACCCTGAAGCAAGTAACCAAGCCTGATCCATTTAGTCACTTCAGGAATTTTCACGAATGATGGGATGGGGTACAAATTGGGACACTGGGGCATAATTTAGGTAGCCACTAATCGTTTACTTATCCATATCAGGATCTTCTGTTTATGCGCTCGAATCTTCCCCACTGAAGTGAATTTATATTTTCATGGAAAGCATCCGGTACATTGTACCATGGCCGTTTGTTAAGCTGCGTGTTTTACGACCCATTATATCCATATTGAGTCACATTTTGGCCGTTAACATTAAATTTTGACATAGACTAATGTCAAAACGAAATACCTCCCAAAATGCCTTGATTATCAATGGGAAACTTTCATTTATCATTTCCACGCAGTGACGTTTCTTTTGCGCTTCAGCAGATACGATTTTGTTGAGGTTGTTCGTAGCATCCTCTTCAAATTGTAATTCTCAGAATATCGGAAACGATCTCAAATGTTAGTTTCCCTGTTGTATTTGTTGTATCTTTGCAGGACATGTTGGACAACATGAGGATGACTCTTACTTCCATATTGGCCATCGTGACCTGTGCTTCTGCAGCCAAAGTTTTGTTGATCCCTGGTCCAGCTGTAAGTCATTGTCTTGAGACTCTTGCCGTTGGTAAGGAACTTTTAAAACGAGGTCATGATGTAACAGTGTTTGCACACTTATTTGACGCCAAAGCATGTATTAATAGGTGGGACCTTAGCAAGTTCAAGTCAAAGTTCAAGACCCTTTCACCTGCTCTAGATCCAGACGTGATACAGAAACACAATACCTTCTTCGAACAGACTGAAAAGGTGATGATGGACGGCACAGGTCTTCTGAAGATGCTTATATTCATGATAAAGCCAGTGATAACTAATCTTTGTCATTCTGCCTTTTCCGACCAAAACGTTCTGAACGAGCTTCAGGAGGATAAGTATGATCTTGCTGTGGTAGAAGGACTACCGATGACAGGGTGTATCTTTTCCATTCCTGTTTATCTTGGAATCCCTTATGCAGCTACTGGTTCATTCATTGATCCGCAGGATGCTATGATGCCACTACAAACAACCTTATTTCCGAGCCTTTTTTTGCCGTATTCTAATGACATGACATTTCCTGAACGCTTTATCAACACAATAACCTACTTTCTTAACCCTCTCATCAAATACGCCATAATTCACTCAATAGATCTCTCAAGCTACAGCGAAAAACTGAAAACAGTCGATACAAGGAATTTGATCAAAGATTCTGTTCTTTTTCTAGAAAACTCAGATTATTTCATAGACTACCCAAAAGCACTGTTCCCCAATTTCTTACAAGTAGGAGGCCTCACAGCTTCTCCCTCGAACCCATTACCAGAGGATCTGAGGAAATATATTGATGGTGCCAGGGATGGGGTCATCCTTGTGACTTTTGGTAGTGTTTTGAAGCATGTGCCTCAGCGTGTGGTTGAACGGATGACGAATGCCATGGCCCGATTGGAACAGCGTATTTTATTCAAGCACAATAACGAGGAGCTTAAGGGAAATATCAAAACCATGAAGTGGATACCACAGAATGATGTGCTTGGCCATCCTAACGTGAAACTCTTTGTCTCCCATTGCGGAAAAAACAGTTTATGGGAGGGAATATACCATGCCGTTCCGATAATTTGTACTCCTTTCGGAACTGATGCTGTTTCAACAGGAATTAAGGTAATGAAGTATGGAGTTGGGTCATCGGTTAATATTCTCCAGGGAACTACTGAGGAAATATTTCAAACGGTTCAGGCTGTTCTTGGCAACAAGACAATAGAACAGAATATGAAGACTATGTCTGCTATAATGCGTGATAGGTCGGAAACTCCCTCACAACGTGCAGCATCTGCTGTTGAGCATGTGATTAAATATGGCGGTGATCATATGAGACCTCCTGAAGTTGACTTTCTAAGCAGCATCTATGCAGATGTGTGGCTGATCATTTTTGTCTTTCATTTCCTCTTAGTTAGTGGGGTCATATTCATATGTCGTAAATGTTGGAGCATAAGAAAGGGATTCAATAAGCCTAAGGCAGATTAAATACTATAATTGTGTCACAGAGTGACTTAAAAGCACTCACATTATGACATTTATAGCCTTAATCCATTTTCCCCTGGGCCGTGTCTGTAATCACATCCATAAGCCCCATGTCCAGGGCAACGCCATTATCTCTTTGTCTGTCTATTGTTGTCGAATAGTGTGTATATATGTTTAGACCTTTACTGTTAGTTAGTCTGGTATTCCGACAGCACCTGTATGTACAGCCGCGAGTAGGATATGCCTGCTTGCTGGACTTCACTAGTAAATGTTGAGTTGGAATCACCGCTCGACAAAGTTCTATTATTAACTGTATTTGTTTGTTTTATTGACGACTAAAGAGTCAGTGAGTGAGTGAGAATGGTTTTACGCCGCTTTTAGCAATATTCCAGCAATATCACGGCAGGGGACACCAGAAATGGGCTTCACACATTGTGCCCATGTGGGGAATCGAACCCAGGTCTTCAGCGTGACGAGCGAACGCTTTATCCACTAGGCCACCCCACCGCCCGCCGACTTAAGAAGTTTGGACTCAATGTATTCTTCGTCTTCAATCTGAGCTAATTTCACCGTCAACCAGCGTTGACAACTGGTGTTAGAATCTGGAATCTTCAATGCGAGAGTAGGACATGGAGAGGATTTTATTCGAGATGACAGTACAAATTACCTCCCTCTTCCTGAAGATTATACTAGCGACTCATTTAACCTTCCAAGGGATGTTTGTGATAAAGATGTAAATGCTTATGGAATTTGTCTACCTGAATTATGCAAGTTATTTCGTATTCATATTGTTAAATGGTAGAATGAAGTTTGACATTCCAAGTAATTTCACTTTTGTCTCGCATCTAGGCACAAGTGTTGTAGACTATTTCCTTGTGTCAACAGACATATTCCCCAAACTAGTAGATCTCAAAGTGTGTTCAAGAACAGATTCAAACCACATGCCTCTGATCTGTACTACATCTCACATGTTTGATAATGTGATTACTAATACTGACCATATAACAACAGTATCACCCATTCCTAGATATAAATAAATCGATCAACATGCTCTGAAATATAAACAATTACTACAGTCTACTGATATAGTTGAAGAATTTTACACAGCTTTACAAACAGATGTAAATACTGCAGTCAAGACATTGGGAGATATACTGATCCACATTGATTGTTCTCCTGGAGGTTTTTGTACACTATTCAACAATAAATCCAGAAATCAACCAATTTGGTTTGACCATGAATGTACTCAACTGAAAAAGGAAAAATATAGGTATCTTAATTTATTTAAGCAGTTCAAATGTAATGAAAATTTGCAAAAATATGTTATAGCCAAAAGAAAATTTAAAATATGCTGTGGTCAGAAAAAGAAATAATAGTAAAATAGTAAAAATAATGGTAAAATAGTTGAAGATTTGAAAGATGCTGCAAAACATGGTAATTGTAAAACATTTTGGAACACCCTTAAACGGGTTTTATGTAGCAAACACTCTAAATGTGCAATATCTCCTGATGCTCTTCAGTTATCTTTAAAGATTTGTTAAACTCGTACAAAACAGAAGTGAATGAAGATTTTAATGTACTTGTAAATGAATTCATTGACAGCCACTCTTGTGATAATTGTGATAGCTTACCCATTACAGATGAGTTGTTATCAGATATTATTACTGATGAAGAAGTAGCTGAAGCGTTAAAAAAGATTAAAACTTGGGAAATCTCCTGGTGAAGATGGAATCCCTCCAGAATTGTTTAAACTTTCAGAACAAATTCTTATTAAATACTTGAGACCATTATTTAATAAAATATTAGATACCGGTATATTTCCTGAAGCATGGAACATTGGACTTATAATACCTATACATAAATCTGGTGTTACCTCTGACCCCAACAATTATAGAGGAATATCCCTGCTAAATGCAACTGGGAAATTATTCACGTCAATACTTGGATATAAACGATTTAATACATGAAGCACAAGCTGGATTCAGATCCAACTATTCAGTAACGGACAACATTTTCACACTCCAGGCTCTTTGTACTAAATATTTAACAAAGCGAGGGGGAGATTTTATTGTGCTTTCATTGATTTCAAGAAAGCCTTTGACTTTGTGGAAAGGAAAAAAAATATTATATATGATACTACTTTTTGCCGACAATGTGACTATGTTCTCATATACAGTTATTGGTCTACAAAGACAATTAGATATCTTAAGAAAATTTTGCATTACCTGGGGCTAAGTGTGAATCTTGATAAAACAAAAACAATTCTTTTCCGAAACGTTGGCATTATACGAAAAAATGAAAAATGGTTCTATGGTTCTATAAGTGTAAAACTTGTCACTTACTACAAGTATCTTGGAGTATTTTTCTTCTCAAGGCTAATCTGGTCAATGGCCTGCAAAAGCCTAGCATCACTGGCTTCTAAAGCCACTAGAGCCATTTATCATGCTTTCAAAAGAAATTGCTATATAACATTCGAAACAGCTTGTACAATGTTTGATTGTAAGATTGCTCCTATATTACTTTATGGGGCTGAAATCTGGGGGGCAAAATATTATGAATGTATAGAAAAAGTACATACGTCCTATTTTAAAAATTATCTTTGTATCGGAAAATATGCCTCTAATAAAGCTATTCTTGGTGAAACTGGGCGATTAAATATGTTCGTGTTTAGCAAAATAAGGGTACTTAAATACTGGTTGAGATTGCTACGTATGAATCAATGTCGATATCCAAAACAATGTTACAATCTACTTAAGCAGTAAGATGATAATGATAAACACACCTGGGTGTCTGATGTAAGATATATTTTGTTTTCTTCAGGCTTTTCATTTGTATGGATGTCTCAACATATTGGCGATGAAAATCTCTTTTTACTAAAAATAAAACAAAGGCTGAGTGATATGTATTCTCAAGAGTGGCATGACTCTATTTCTTGATCAAAATATCTGTCACATTATGCAAATTTGAAATCACTTTTACAGCCAGAATTTTACATCAGTAATCTCACGAATAAATCACTCAGGAGAGCATATTGTAAATTCAGAATATCGCTACACGGTTTTAAGATTAACATGCTACGAAAGTCAAAACATACAAATGAAGACTTGAGTCTATATCTATGTACCCACTGTAAAGGGAGACAATTAGAGGATGAATTTCATGTTTTGTTTGTATGTTCAAAATATTCTTCTGTCAGAAACCACTATTTGCCTTGGTTATCCAATGTCCATCATGCATATGATAATCACAGTTTATGTAATCTACTCAACTCCAAAACTATCAACATTGTAAAGGCTTTGGCCTTATACTTAAATCATGTATTTAATGTGAAATAAGACTACTTGTATTTATTTTCCTGACATCACGTGACGCAGCAATTATTGTAATTGTAATTGTACTCTAGGCCACATGGCCCAAAATACTGAATAAAGAATCTTGAATCTTGAATCTTGTTAGAATCTGGCTGGAGTAACTTTTGAGCTTACTCCCGATCCAGTAACCTCTCCACTTGCCTACCTGGAATATCTCCTGAATGTTCAACTTCAGAAAACCCTCATTTATCTGGTCAGAAGGCTATAACACCTTCTTCAGCATCGTCGGTAGATCTGTATGTTGAATTCTGTTGTCAAGATGAGATTCCATCAGGACCAACAGTTCAAACTATTGGAACTGATATTCGAGAAAACAATCTTGCAGCGAGACAGCGATGTTCAGCAGATTTGAAGCCTATCATTGACTTTCTAGAGAATGGTGAGATTCCCTCTCATTACACTGATTCTCAAGTCAAAGGTCTCCAAGGTCTCTCACAGGAGTATGATCTATGTGATGGCATCTTGTATCATTTCTACCTGCCAAAGCATAGAGGACATAAGAACGGCCGTCACCCAATGGTTACACAACTGGCAGTTCCTATTTCTGACAGGAAATCCCTGCTTTATGCTTACCATGATTCAAAAGCAGGTGGGTGCCACTTTGGTCGGGATGCTACCCGTCAGTCCATTTTGACCAAATACCATTGGCCAGGCTTGTGCCAAGATGTCGAAACATACATAAAATCTTGTGAAGAATGTAAAAAAAGCAAACGTTGGGCCCATTCAAAACCAGCTCCAATGGTACCAATGCCTATTGAAGACAACTTTTCCAGGTTACTTGTTGACATCCTTGGACTTCTTCTTCAAACAAAGGATGGGCATATATATGTTCTTGTAGCTGTGGATTCATTCTCAAGGTGGATTGAAGCATCTCCATTGCACACTCAAGATGTTGTGGAAGTAGCAACAAAACTCTTTAATGAGGTCTTCACAAGGTACGGTGCACCTCGAACTCTAGTCACTGATAGAGATCACCAGTTCACATCAAAGCTGGTCTATGCTATCTGTGAAATCTTTGAGGTTAAGCACCACTTCACATCCTTGTACCATCCTCAGACAAATGGAATGGTTGAACGGCGTAACAGTACAATTGCACAAGCCTTTAAATCTTACTGTAATCCTGACCAATCCAACTGGGCTGATATTCTTCCATGTCTTCTCATGTCAGTGCGAAACTCACCATGCCAATCAACTGGTTACTCACCACACCATATGCTCTTTGGCAGAGAGACGTGTCTTCCATTTGATACTACACTCACACCGAAGCCAACACTTAGTAAAAATGCAGAGACACATCTCCAGCAGCTCATCGACAATCTGAAGGTTGTCAAATCTATTGCTCGCGACAACATGTCTGTAAGTCAACAGATAGACAATGAGCACCAAGAGCTTAAATCATCAGAACCTTCTTTCATATTAGGTCAGCAGGTGCTTCTCCAGAGCCCTGTAGTCAAACAAGGACTTTCCCCGAAGCTGTCGCAATCATGGACAGGTCCTTATTTTATCACAGACATTGGTCCAAACCACACCTTCAAAATTCACAGATGTTCAGATGACAAGGAACATAAGTCTTTGGTCCATGCCAATCGCCAGAAACCCTATGTCCTCAGAGATAATGTTGCACGGCATATTGACTCATCATGTTCTTCTGCACCTACATTGGTGTCAAGCAGAGCACAGGACATGTTACCAGACCCTCTTGCACAAACTTTGCAAGGCAGCCCCCCACTAGACTCACCAGTCTTTTGTGAAAAGCCAAACGCAAAAGCAGATGAAACTGTGCCATCAGAGCACAATCACAAGCAAACAAAAGATCACAATCAAGATCAATTCTATGATGTCGAAAAACTCTTGAAGTACAAAGACATCAATGGCATCCGCCATTTTCTTGTCAAATGGGTTGCATATCCTACACCAACATGGGAGCCACACCTT